GGGGGTGCCCGGCGCTGGGGCCCGCCGGCGGGGAGGAGGAGGAGGAGGAGGAGGAGGAGGAGGAGGAGGAGGGTGGAGGTGGGCATGGACGATGCCAACGGGGTCCCTGGGGGACCCCGATGCACCAGGGGTGGTGGTGGGCACCAGGGACAAGTGACAGTTTGATGGCAGAGCTGTCCAAGTAGGACCTGGTGGGAAGATGGCACGGCGGGAGCCAGGGTACCCCAGTGACCCCAGTGCACATCGGGCTGGGTGGGACACCAGTGATCCCAGCACAGCCAAGGCTGGTATCCCAGAGAACCCCCAGAACAGACATGACTGGATACCCCACTGATCCCAGTATCCCAGAGCTGGTACCACAGTGACACCAGTACAGAGAAGGCTGGATACCCCACTGATCCCAGTATCCCAGAGCTGGTACCACAGTGACACCAGTACAGAGAAGGCTGGATACCCCACTGGTCCCAGTATCCCAGAGCTGGCACCCCAGTGATACCAGTTACAGATATGGCTGCATACCCCACTGATCCCAGTATCCCAGAGCTGGTACCACAGTGACACCAGTACAGAGAAGGCTGGATACCCCACTGATCCCAGTATCCCAGAGCTGGTACCACAGTGACACCAGTACAGGTATGGCTGGATGACCCACTTAACCCCAGATCCCAGAGCTGGTACCCCAGTGACACCAGTAGAGATACGACTGGAAACCCTACTGAACCCAATACAGCCAAGGCTGGTATCCCAGTGACCCCAGTACAGCGGCAGCTGGATGCCCCACTGATCCCAGTATCCCAGAGCCAGTACCCCAGTGACACCAGTACAGGTATGGTTGGATAACCCACTTAACCCCAGATCCCAGAGCTGGTACCCCAGTGACACCAGTAGAGATACGACTGGAAACCCTACTGAACCCAGTACAGCCAAGGCTGGTATCCCAGTGACCCCAGTACAGCGGCAGCTGGATGCCCCACTGATCCCAGTATCCCAGAGCCAGTACCCCAGTGACACCAGTACAGGTATGGCTGGAAACCACACTGATCCCAGTACAGCCAGGGTAGCATACCCCAATTTTCCCAGTGCGTCCAGGGCCCAGATACCCCCTTGACCCCAGTACAGCCAGGGCTGGGCGTCCCAGTGTTCCCAGTACAGCCGATACCTGGGTATAGCTGGATTTGGGACCGGGGCCGTTCCCATTGTCCCCACGGGACCCGGGGGTGCCCCATGGCTGGGTGATGGGGAGGGGGCTC